TAACCAGTTTTGAATTTGATTTCCTTGATTGATGTATTCATTTCTTAATCGAGTTACCGATGTGGAGGCGCTGGTTGAAAAGGCTTAGTGTAAGGTATGGTCCGATCAGGCACAAAAATGTGACGCGGATTTGAAGACCCAGTTGGTTATTTAGTACCTTCTTTGCCATATAACCTCAGCAGCTGAGTGCGTCGTAAAACCCCAAGACGACAGAGTCGTGATGCCTAATAGGAACGATTAAGGCGCTGAGCTTGACAAACGTATTTGATGCTGCAAGAGCAAGACGCATAAATGTTTTCATTTCAGCTTTAGCTCAATATGTTAAACTAGAATACAGCTGTTTTAGATGTTATTGCCAGCTCAGACATGCTGTTTTTCACGAACTGCCTACCTTTTGGGTTTTGCTCAGCTGACTGCTGCATCTAAGTGTCCTTTGTCACCCACTATATCTGTATGTTTGTAGTGGAAGTCAAAAGTCATTGAGAATTTGTATATGGTTAAGCTCTGAAGTGCCTGGTGATCTTTGTCATTACTATTGGCTAGTTGTAAAACGTGTACTGGTTTATCAGCCATTTCATGCATTGTATGTCACCCTACCAGGTTCTTTGGTCGTAGGATTGGCCTGTGGTGCACAATTCAATGAAATAATTGACTTTGTAATAATTTTGTTAATGAAGTGAACGCAAATCTCGCCACGGCCACTTTGTTACGAAAAAGTCAAAATTCAGGAACGGATGTTTTTTCGTCTTAAATGGGGCGTTTTCCATTCCCTCATGTTACGCCTAATTCTGTAATAATTTTGTTAATGTTATGTTCTAAAAGCCCTCAAGCCCGTCGTATTGCGGTCTGCGTGGTTATTTCTGCACGCTTCGCGGGCCTGCGGGCTCAAAAGTGGCAGCTCTAATGGCGACCGTGACGCGCGTCCGAATGCCTGGCCACGGCCGACCGGTGGAACGGCGATCTGACCGCGAAGCGATGCTCCCCGGAACGCCGGGCGTGACGGCGGCCGGTCACGGGTGACGTCATCAGCCGTGACGTCACACTGCCGGGTGTCTTATGACGGGCGTGATGTCATGAGGCGGCTGCGTCGCTCCTCCTGCGAGGTCAGATCGTGTAGGTGGCGTCGCTGCTCATGGGTGCGATGTCGTCATCCTGGCAGACGTCGCGATTGGGATTTCACAGGACGACCGCGGAGAAATGCCGGCTGATGACGCTGCCTTTCTCCAGATTTTTCAACTTCCAGTGGTAATTCATTCGAAAAACGTCTCGAATTGGGACCCCTTGGCTTTCTTCATCCATTCACGTGACAAAATTGGCCAAAAACTTGGTATAGATAAGACGTGCCTTGCGCTTCGGGCTCTCCGGCATTATATGTTCTGAGTTCTTCTTCTGACGGTTATCAACCTTCATTATACCGCGAGACACTGGCTAAACGACTTTATCAAGGAGGCACCAGTTAGCCAATGCGCGATTTTTCATGTTGTGTTTACGATCACTGATCATCACACTTTGAAACTTTAGTAAGGACAATATAGCGAATATTTGTTTGATGACGTTGCTTAACTAGTACTTCCAGGCATGCTAAAAATTGAATACTGTCAGCCTAGGAACTGACTCATTCTAGCTTAGAAGCAGCATTTGGCTCTACTAAACATACTAAATCATCACCATGCCTCTCACTTGCACCCAGATGCTGCAATATACTACACACACAAATCAGGTTAGGAACGTCGAAGCTTAACGCACATCATTACACTATACAACAAAACTCGATTCCTGCTTGTGCTTGCGACTGTGACGAAAAAGGCCACTCAGTTGACCATTACGTGTCCACTTTTCTCATCGAAAGACTGGGCCTCTTCTGGCAGATTTCTGTTCATCTTAACCTTCACTTCCACTTATTATTGGACACGATATATATGTATATATATATATATATATATATATATATATATATATATATATATATATATATATATATCGTGTACATGTCTTTTTCGGGACATAGCACAGAACTAATGCTCAACAAGCCGCTTCTTTTGTCGACATTGCGTGACAGCATCTCGACGTCTTTCTTAAACTGTTACAGCTTAATACGAGTTCAGACTGCTTATGCTGACAGTAATATAAAGGGCAACAAAGATCAAACTGAACTCATAGTACCAAAAGGCCATGACCTCAGAGAACTTCTTGCTGCTGTGAAGTTGTCAAAGCTCCACAGAGTTGTACGCCTGAAACACCTATAAAACAGTGTCCTCATTTCCTCGCCACCCGGTCGGGGTAGCCACCTGTGGAGCAGACTATTGTATTTTTCTTGCAGGAGACGGTTCCTAGATCAAGGCTTTGGTTTTGGCGGCAGCATTTCTTGAAATGTGTCTGGATTGACAATTCATCACAGTAAGCTTGCATGCTTTGTATTGCCATGAACAAACGACCAACTGCTTACCAGTACCGTTGTCTCCGCGTCGCGTCTCAGGCCGGGATAGATGCCAGTTGGACACCGGTTTTGCCTAGCCGGCTGTTCCTCCGTCCGCCGGTCGTCGTCGCCATCTCCCGCTTTTTTCCACACTTGGTAAGCCTGATGAGCCTTCCATTGACCTTGAATGCCTGATGTCAGTGGTTCGATTTTTTACAAATTAAAATGCAGGCCCGTTATGGGTGTGATAGCAGCATTCCTCACTGGAGGCGGACGCCCCTGGCTTCAGATCGGTGGATTGTTAATATCATCCGCATTGTCATGGATATCGAATCATTGCCCAATAGCTGTGGTTCTGTTCTGTGAAGTGTTAATATATCTGAACGCACTCGCGCATCTAAAAAGCGGCTGCTCCAACTTGCAATCTACGTATGTTAGTAACCACCCGTGAAATAGTGTTCTCCCGACACCCAATACGCCCAGTCAATCGAGCTCGGGTGATGTGTCACAATAGCTGTTATTGCCGGGATATTTAACAAGCAGCTCGTGCGTGGCCAGGTGCGTTTGATTCCGTCGGCTCCAATCTCCACTCTGATGCGGACCTGTGGCGCCGCGCCCCGCCCTCCGGGTCGAAATAGTGGCGAAATTGTCACACGCTGTTCCTGGCGTCACGTTCAAACACGCCGATGAACGCAACGGGATGCCCTCCCGGACCCTGGACGCCGGCGCGCCGCGAAATTGCCCTGTGATGCTAACGAAGTCCCGGCGGTGGTCGACTGCCTTCCGCGAACCGTGTCGCCAGTTTGTCGTCGTCGGCGCGCCGTGCGTCGCTGTTGTTGCCGTGCCGCACAGTCGGTCGACCTCGCGTTCCTGGCGCATTGGCGGGGCGTGTTGGCCGTGTTGGCCGACGCCCCTCCCGCTCCTTCAGACCCGCCCCGACCTAAGACCTGCCCTCGGCCGGGCGCGGGACGCCGGCCGCCATTTTCGGCACGGCGGGGTCTGGGACAGGGTGATGGTCGCGGCCGCAGCGGGTTGCGGCGACACACCGGCGGCCCGGTCCGATGACGTTCGGCCGGGGCTTGCACGTGGCTGGCCGGGCCGAGCGGTGGCTCCAGTGGTCGGGGTGTTGGGGGCGTGATTTATGGCCCGACCCTGCGACTGCACACGGGCCGCTGACAGCCGATCTGTCTCAGGTGGGCTGCTTTTTCTGTGTACAGCTTTTTAAAACGGGCTCAAAATATCTTCTTCGGCTTATGTTCGGAGAAGCAGGCTATCCTTAGACTTTGGAATCGCTTTTCGTCTTTTTCTTTCGTCGTCTTATCTTCATGTGTCACAGATGTACCGCTTTTTCTGTCTACAGCTTTTTAAAACGGGCCCAAAATAACCTCTTCGGCTAATGTTCGGAGAAGCAGGCGATCCTTAGACTTTGGCATCGCTTTTCGTCTTTTTCGTTCGTTGTCTCATCTTCATGTATCACATGCGTTTTACAACTGGGGTTGAGGCATGAGAGGTTTCTTGGCTGTAGCGACTGTTGGGATTGCTACACGTCAGGCTTTTTGTTTGGAGCGCCGAATGCTTGGGCTGCTTTCAACCAGCTACACTTCTTCGTCGTGGCTCGACAACGAACCGCAACTCCACCTATGCTGTTCGGTCTAATGGCTTCCTTTGCCGGAAGCGGCCAGTGGCAGTTCCCACTGTGGGCAAAACAGCTCCCATACATACCATGTGAGCCCCAGTCCGCGGGAATTCTGTCATGAATGACCTTGCGATGTGATGCACGTACCAACCGATTATGGTGCTAGCCGTGATATTAGGCGGTGATGCTGCGCTGCGCACGCTTTGGCAAGACCTTTCAAGCATCCCTTGACCACATTTTCACGCTGCGCCAGCGTGCCCGCTTTATTTGTTGACCTTCTGTAGCCTCTCCCAGCATTCTCTCGAGTTAAACTGATTGCAGACATTGCTGCCTGCTTACCGTCATATTTTCACATGTAATCCACAGCGGCATCGCATTCGAAATCACTTGGTCGGGTGACGGGGCGGCGCCGCTGCTTTGTAATCGGGTCTGGACACGGCGCGCGCGCACGCCCCCGGCGACTGCATCGCCGCACAACAGGCGTGCTGGAATCGGCCGCAACCGCTGTTTGTTCGGCCGGGAATCCGGGCCCGGCGAGTTCCCTGCTGCGAAGCACCGGGCCGCCGTCGCCGGGGAATGTTACGGTTCGGCCGGAACAGGTCCTTCGAGACTCTGAAATGCGGCCCTTGGTGGCAAAAGCCATCCTCCGGCCACGTTTGCCAAATAAATTTGATGTTTGATTTTCCTCATTTGATTTCCTCAATTCCTCACTTGATGGCTCGCCGCTGACGCTGCGCTCATCAAGACCTGAGCTATGAAGCATCGTGCGAGGCGCTTACATGCCGACTGTTGAGCCGCGATGGGCTAGGCGCCGGGGCGGGAGAGGGCACCAAATAGCCCCTCGCAGCAAGCACGCTCTCGTCCCCATATCGTTGCCGCCTCTTCGTCGGTGTTGGGGACCTCTGATCGGGACCCTGCCCTGACGCGACCCGCCCCTCGCCGTTGCAGAGCCTGCGTGCGGCGCCGGCGGCGGACACGCTGGACCCCGCGTGCCTGCTGGACACCATCCACGACCACTTCAGCCAGCTGCACGGCCAGCTGCAGTTGCGCCAGGCGGCGCTGTCGGCACAGCTGCTCGCCGCCGCCGAGTCCCAGCGCGCCCACGTCCGCCAGCTGGTGAGTCCGCGGCGCACGGCTGCAGAGTCGGCGCCGCGGCCGTGTCCGTGTCTGGGCTGAGGATTCCGCGACCTGACGTGTGGATGTTGGCCACGTCTGGGAACCCAGGAGGACCCTAGGAGGTCTACACCAGGCCTGACCGGTGGCCAGGTATCAATAGGCTCATCAACGCGTATGGAAGCTCTCGGACGTGGTCTTGTTCTTCTTACTAGTTCCGCAGCACCCGACAACCTCTGCTGAATCGGATGCGTTGCTATCACACCGCGTTTACGGTGAGCTCAAGGCTGCAGAAAGGCGCTCCGTGGACAAAGAGTAGGCAGTGCAGACTGTTGACAGTGCATGGCAGTTGACATTCCTTCTCGGAATGCGAAACTGCACACCAGATTAAAGCGGACATGTTTTGCTCTAAGATACGCCGATTTGGGGTGCAGCATTGTGTTTCTTCACTCGCTTGGAGACCTTAGAAGTTCTTTGTGAAGCTGCGCCGTGTCGCCGGTTGCCGTAGAGTCGGCTAACGTCAGCTGCACACGCGGCACAGCCCAGTCTAATGTGGCGGCGCATTTGACAGCGGCGCGCCTGTTCTGAATGTTTGAGCGCTGGTCGTCCTGCCGGTGCCGGGGCCTGGCGAGCGGCATTTCTGGTGTGACCGCGCCGGTGTGTCCTGCCTCCCTGCCGCTTTCGGGCGGTCGAACCGGCCGGCTCTCACACCGAGATCGGCCCGAGCCGCCGGTTCTCACAGTCGGACAGCCTGGTGCTCTCACACCGAGATCGGCCAGAGCCGCCGGTTCTCACAGTCGAACAGCCGGCGAACAGCTGGTTGAAGTCCGGACAGAGTCTGTGTCTCGTTTGTTCTGCTGGAACGTGAGTCGTCGTGGTGTCCGTCGAGTCCGACGGTCATGCCGGACAGGGATGCGGTCGCGGCGGGGTGTCGCTCGTCGACAGGCCGCCGGCGCCTGGGGCCGCCGCCGCGTTGCGAGCGGAACCGCAAGTCCGGAGCTCGCTCCGGGCTCCGGGCTCGCTCGCTGCCAAGGATCACCGGGGATGAGTCGTGGTTCGCCTTGGCGAGGATTTGGCCGCGGCGATCAGCGGCCGCGAGCGCGGCAGGCGTTCGTCACCTCCGGCTCGCAACCGGACGGCCGTCGCAAAGTTCACGGCTGACGCGCGAGCGCGGGGCGTGTTTGTTCCTACGTTGGCGGGCGTATTACGGTGGTCGCGCCGCCGCCGCCGCAAGCCACCGGATCGTGACGCGGCGTGCATCACGAATTTGGAATGTAAAAGTCACGAAAACCGCGCATTGGACGCGGTCACCCCCGAACCTCGGCTGAACCGGTGATTAGCCGGCGGCCCCCGGCGGCGGTGCGTGCTGCGCGGCGTGGACGCACACGTCGCCTGACCCAGATTGACCCAGGGTCGCGGGCTCGTTCAGTGCGCCGCGCGCGAGCGGTGGTCGGCCGGCACCACTGGCAGGACATCGAGGCGGCTCGGCCGAGCTGGGGACAGCATGGCGAAGTGGCGGCTCAGCCGAATTGGAGACGGCCTGGCGGAGTGGCGGCTCGGCCGCGCTGGGGACGGCACGGCGGAGTGGTGGCTCCGCCGGGACCGGCCCTCCCCCCCCCCCCCCCCCCTGTCTGCGGTTGATTGGCCTGGTGCCCCTGATGGAGATGTGTAGGTGCAGCGACGCTGTCCAGACGCGGCACCATCGGGCCGCCGCTGGGCCCGCTTGCTGCACTTGTTTGAGGGCTGTCGCAAGCTCCGAATACAGATATTGCACCAGTGAAAATTTTTCATTTCATACTGTATGCTTACGTGGTATTTCCTTTGTCATTTTGGGAATGTTTGTAATCTTAAACTGTCTCCTTTTTCCCCGACGCGAAGATTGTGGTTTTAAATAGGGTTGCTTTAATCCCAGAGACTGCCGAACAATGAAAGATGGGCTGTTTTGCCTTTCGTGTTCAGTTAGGCCTCTGCAAAAGCATGACCTTAAGTACTACCTTGTTCCGAAATACACCCATAATGTAGTTTCTTCCGTAGGTCCGATGTGAAAGCTTAAGCGTTGCCGACTTTTTGAGTTTGTGTAGAGCAAATTCTGGGCGAAAAGGGCGCAACGACAATCAGGGAAGATATGGTATCTGCCCGTAGCTTTAACCAATAGATTTCGAATGGTCTCTATCTCGGTTATGGGATGAAGAGGGCGGAATTATATTTGCGGAACACTGCAGCGGGGTCTGACCTGCTGTCATTCCTCTTCGTTCTTCTCTCTTATATCGTTGCGGTTATTCCTGTGTTTGTCTCGTGTGCTACGCTGTGCGCTGTTCAGGATTGCTGATAATTGTCTCATAACATATTTTCTGCTGTGTCATCTTTGATGCAAGGGTCAAAACCAAACAGCTTAGGTACGCATTTGCCGGAATGCGAATAACGCTGGATTATGGTCGTACGTTGTCATTAAATGCGAGTTTGGGTGAGCCATTGTTTAAATGGTAATGCTAATCAGCTTACGGTGCTATACGACGTCATTGCCGCTGCATACAGTAATGTGCGTTATGTCATAGCATGGCATATTTTCTGGCATGAAACATGTATATTTCAAGTTGCGCGCGTTTGCTGCATGTGGAAAGAATACACGCACTGATGAGATGTTTGCGACGACAGATCTGCACTAACCATTCTGCTTGGAATGACGTGCGCTTGGTTAAATATGCGAATTGTTTTTGTCGCTCTCGAGATGGGCTTATGTGATAGTGCTCACTATTTGTTCCCTTTGTGAGCAATCAAGCTGTCATCTATGAAGTTATCACTCGTTTGCATTTGGTCAAATCGCCCCATGAAAAACTTGCTGTGATGTGCCTTCCTTTACCTTGGAATGAGAAGGGACACCATGCAAATCTCTTGGCATGCGCTGCCCACTGTGGAAAGAAAAGACTTTGCTGCAAACGTCATTGACGTGGTCCTTTTTCCCTTCGGACGACGTTTTGAGCTGCTTGTCGCCTGTCCTTTTCCTCTTATGCCGGCAGCGACCGCAATGGTCGCGGCAGACATAAGCCGAGCCGTTATCTGTCAGGCGTTGTGCCTCCGCAGAATCACTCTATCGCTCAGTCCGCTGTTCGTCACCACCAGTGCGGCCACCTTCCGAGCTGGCGCGTCGACCGCCTGTGCGTTTGTCGACCTCTTCCAACTTTGCATTTATAAAACGATGGTGCCCGAGCGCCACGGGTCGGACGCGATGTGGCTGACCGATGGCTGACCGCTCCGATGGATGACTGATGGCTGGCCACTCCGATGGCTGACCGACGGCTGACCGATGGCGTACCGTTCCGATGGGTGACCGATGGCAGGCCGCTCCGATGGCTGATCTATGGCTGACTGTTGCGATGGCTGACCGATGGCTGACCGATGGCTGACTGGTGGAGGACCGCTCGCTGGTCGCTGAGGTGGAGACGGACGCCAAAGGGGTTACCTCGAGCGGTTGGCAGGTGGACTGGTGTCACGTCGGTGATCCGTGGTGGGCTAACATCCTGAGAATCCCTTAACGGAACACGATGGCGGATCTCATGTCCGTGGTTTGTGGCGGCGAGCAGGGCGGCGATCCACGTTCGTGATCCTTGGCGACCAATACAAGGGCTCATGATGATAAGGGCCCATGCCTGAACCTTTGTCCATGCCTGAGCTCCCGGGCGGCTAGCGTGAGGGCTGGTGCACGCCTGAGATCTCTGGCGAGCTGGTGTGAAGGTTGGTACCTGTGCGGATCACCTGACCTGGACGCCGACGCCGGTCGTGACGACCAGCGAGCCTCGGCAGCCGTGTCAGTCCGGGCGCGTGGTGACGGCGGCGGCGGCGGCGGCGACCGGGCCGCGAGAGCTGGCGTGACCGGCCGGCGCCCTGATGTCATCGTCCGGCTATGTATGCCCGGCTCACGGCCGGGTGCGGCTGCACTGGGAGATCGTCGCGTCCGCTCGGGCGTGCACGTGGGATGAAGACGGACGCCGGCACCGGACCGGCTCTCCCGCAGCAGACACCCCGAGCGGGTGTGGAGGGCAGACGCCGTGCACGAGTGGCTGAGGCGCCGGTGTGCAAGGCATGAGCATGTGCACGGAGATGTTATGCTTTCTGCACGTTTTTCCACTCTCTGGTACGTCACAGATGTTCCTTTGGCGGTGGCGTTTGTGAAGAACTACAGTTACGTTGGCATGTGCAAAATTAGTATTTTCCCCCGCCTGTTGTCATGGTCAGGTCGGAAGAGAGGTTGTCATAGCCGCCCTTCACCTGAAATATCGTCATCAGGCAATTGTCCTATCGATATATGGCGAAGATGGTCCGTAAATATACCATCCGTGACAAGTAGGCAAGCTTCGCTTCTGCCGTACCGCGATACAGTGGCTGTCCTCGCACCAGCTGGTGTTGTGCAACACAGCGGGTGTGTAAGCCAGGCTATGTATGGACGTCTAACGCAGTCAAGGCCATCTTCGCCATAGTTTGTTAAGCTTTCCTCCGATAATCCGTCAAGCTTCTGATTTGTATGTATGCATCTGTGTTCGTAGGCTAATTTGCATTTGCTGAGAACGTCGCGCCGCTATGCGGGGGTCATTCCTACGCGCGTTGAACGTACGCCCAATGCTGCGTATTGGGAAAGCCTCGAAGTTCGTGCTGTGAACCCGCATGGCGTGAGCCGTGGATTGGCGCCGGTGTCGAGCCACTTACCTAAACTTCTCCGCCAAAGAAGTTCATTGACCTGGCTGAAAACAGTTGGTATGCTCTGCTGGCCATTCAGTACGCTTGAAAGAGCAGGTGCGTTGAACGAGATGTAAAGCCGGTCTACGCGCTGGATTGTAAATGAAATTACCATCGAATGGTTCTAAGGACATCTTCAATCATGCCTTTGATTTGTGTACTCACAATCATTATGGCAACCTGTTATGCTTGGCAAACGTCCTGACTAAATGCTGCCCGATTTTCGGCACCGTGGTAATGTATGTGTGTCTGGCTTGGTGCTGACATTCTAT